TGATTTTTCTAAAATTTTAATAGTACTATGTGTTATTCTTCATTTATATGTTTGAGATTTAACTTTAACAATTAGGTAGCTCGTAATGACTTTAATTTGATGATGACAAAAGATTAACTGATCCTGTTTTCTTTTTGTAGAATTTTAATTTCACATGAAGAACCAAAAGAATGTACAAATCAGAATGACCTACGAATTAAGGAGTAAACTCGGTAAATGGAGTTTCTATCAGATTCAGTCCATCATTCATTCGACAAAGCAAACATATCAATGTTGTCCGCCTAAAAATTAATTTTGGTATATGTAGTAAACAACAGCTAGCGTACTACAAACGTGTGATAAAAAAAACATTTTGCTTATTAGACGAAGTTTTTGTTTCGATAAATAAATCAATAAATTGTGTACCGTAAACTCCTATTCGAAATCGTTTAATAAAAAACACGGGGGTCACTTTTGTAGTTCTAAATTAATTATTTACTTTTTACTGATTTATCATTGAATATTGAAAGTATTTTTGGAATGTTGTGCACGTTGAACTTTCACGAAGTTGATACCAATTTTATATGACGTAAATGGACTATTATAAAGAAAAAAGCAATCTTAGAATGTTAGAATAATAATAAGCGTTGCATCGTCTTACGGATAGGGGTGATGCAACGGATAGGGGTGTTGATCAGTTAAAATTTTTGGGTTTCGGGTAGAACGGGTCGGGTGGTTCAGGTATTTCATTAAAATAATAATACCCAATACCCGACCTATATTGTAATTCGGGTTTTAGGTCGGGTTGGGTATTTTCGGGTGTACCCAAAAATTACTTAAGTGTCACTTATTGATTTTTTTTTTTTAATTTTTTTTTTGTATTTTGGTTGCTTTAATAAAAAATTGGATAACAAAATATTTCTTACAATTAACAAGTACATATACCATAACAATACAAGTCATTATAATATGTTATGTGATTTTTGCATTCCATTTCAAATTTTAATTTAAAAAAAAAAAACAGTTTATGGAGTACATGATCAATGTTTGATCAAATTTGGATTAACCAAACATGTTACATTATTTGATGTAAAAGGTGAGTACATAAAAGTTATAAATAAAAAAATTTAGCATGTTATCTAAAATGCAGGGACCAATTATATATCTATATTTCAATTCACAAAGAATAAATGACAAAAAAGAAACATGTGCATAGTTGAAAAAAAAATATTCGTAGTGCACAAAGAAAATGAAGGGGAATCTAACATCTTAATCATTTTCATTATATTTGTTGTAACATTCTTAATCATTTTCATTATATTTGTTGTACCATTCTGTTCAAAACTTCATTTCATTTTCAATAATTTCTTTTGTATTTATTATATACCGTTCAAATAACGAAATCATGTGACATTTGGTTTAAACTAGAAGGAACAATAATTATGTAAAATAATGATACAACTTTAATAGTTATTATAACTAATGTATTAATTAGTTTTTTTTTCTAAATCGGGTATTCGGATATACCCGAATTTTTTTAAACCTACCCAACACCCAACCAATTTAAATACTGGGTTACCCGATTACCCGAATTTTCAGACCCAAAACCCAATTTATCTGACCTTATCTACCTGAATTCAAAATGGGTCGGGTCGGGTAATCGGGTATTGGGTATTTTCAACAGGCCTACTTACGGAGGTCAAAATATATATATTTGGGCCTTATTTTTAAAAATTAAAAAATTAACCAGAATTGTTTTTTATTTGGTTAAAAGCTGCACATTGCATCCCTCATTTGTTTAAATCTACACCTTGCGAGATTTTAAAAAACTATATTGCCTTTGTTTATTTTCCTTTTTATTGATTTTTTTTATTAATTATAATATATAAAAAATGAAGTGTGCCCTCACCCTTACACAACCAATCCTCATTTAGTTAGATACCCTAGATATCCCCTCCTGTTTCTCTATCTTCATCTTAAAACCTCACTTCCCATGTGAAATCAAAATCCGACCATCAGAGATACTCATCGTCCCCTTCAAACCATTGACGTCGTCCCCTTCACACCACCAGCTTCATCCCTTGCAACATTTTGCCACCATTGCCTCCAAGCCGTCGTCGCCTCCTCACATATGCACTACCACTGTGGAGCTCAATGGACCACAACCATCCTCTATGTCTCTCCCCCTCCTTCTCTGATATACTCCATCTTCGAAACTTCACCTCATCATATCAGATCATTGCCGCCTAGTGTTTCATTTCTGATTGTCATCGTTGCCTAGTGTTTCATCTCAAATTGCTCAACCTTCTCTAGCATCAAACATGATAAAATCTCTATATTTTGCAAGATCTCAATGATGAGGTATTTTCAGTTTTAACCCTAGTATGAAGAAATATTGCATTGTAGCCCTTATGTATGAGAAAGTTTGCAAAATGGCCCATAGTGGCATTTTTGTAATTGTGTGGGGCGAACTCACGTATGATAGGCGTACTCCTAGAGTACGTGGGGCATACGTGGGTGAGCCATAAACCCTAATTTTTAGGGTTTGGACCCTATTTAATCATCTTTATGGCCTCCAAACCTCTTCTCTTATCAACCTTCATCAACCCCCCCCCCCCCCCACTCGACCTTAATAAACCTTAATTCCTTGTTTAAGCATGCTTGAACTTTAGTGTTCATTTGTGGCTTTAAAGAAGGAGGGAAGTGAAACCACCTTGGAAGCTTGAAGAAGCTTTGGATCTAGAATCTTCATCTCTTTAGCAACCTCCAAGAGGTATAAAGTTACAAACTTGGCTTGTATTTCCTTAAGATCTTGCTAAGTTCTTGATTCATGATCATTTTGTCCCAAGTCTTGACCTTTTTTGAGTATTGCATGCTTTAGTCCATTCCTCTTGTCCTTTTCAGACGTTTTGAGGTGCTTAGAGGCATAAAAATGTGGACTTGATCAATTATTCCCTTCCATGCATGTGCTATAAGGTCTTAATGGGTTAAGTAGATAAGGTTTTTAGTATTAAGCACTTCTTGGCCATGCAAGACCATAAAGTTGGAAACTTTATGGTCAAGGACGTTATTTGGGGCTTGGATCTGACTTTAGACGTAAGGACTTGATGTATTAAGCTCTTAATGAGAAAAAAGGTTGACCAGGTGTGTATGCTGGACGTACCAAGTGGTACGATGCGTGTACGCGGTCAGAGCCCCGTCGTCTGGTCAACAAGCGAGTACGCCAAGCATACTCAGCTAAGTCGATCTTAGTTGGGTTGACTCGGCTGAGTGTTGACTTAACCTTTGAGCTTTGACTAAGTTTAATCAAAGGCATTATGGGAAAATTGTTGTTAATCTAGAATGGAAAATGTTTTGATTATTAGGAGTCAAGTATAGCCGGTTGTTGGAGCAGAGATTCATTTAGACTGTATTCGGATTGAGATGTGAGTTTTCCTCACTATACTTATGGGTCGAAGGCACCAAGGCCGACCCATTGGATTAGATATCCTAGTTCGCTGTATGTTGTTATGTTGTAGTGATTTGTTATATTTGTATCCTGGTATATAGGATGATTGTTATGCTATAGTCAATGTTGTAGAACTCGCTACTCGGTACCTGCTCGGCCGACTGGGGAGTAGCGAGTACCAGGGAGTACTCGGGAGTACTCGGGGAGTACTCGGATTCGGTAATTCATGTAGAAATATTTTTTAGAAAATTATATATGTCAAAATCATAAGTTAAAATCATAATTTGATTGAAATATATAACCAAAATTAGATACATGTGAATACATAAAAACTGAAATACACATAATTATCTCACTACGTGGATAATTACTGAAAATTTAAGATATACATGTAGTAATAATCACATGTATGTATTAAATAATAAATCATTAAGTGCATTATATATATTAATCTTGAAATTCTTGATTTTTTTCTCTTTTTATGATAATTTTGACCCTTTGACCGAGTTTGACCGATTTTGACCGAGTTGGCCGAGTTTGACCGAGTAGGCCTGAGTAAGACCGAGTAGGCCCGAGTTTTACCGAGTTTGTCCGATTTTTGACCGAGTTTGACCGATTTTTGGCCGATTTTGACTAAATCTGAGTTTTTTGGCCGAGTTGACATTACTCGCCTCGGTGGAGGGCCGATTCCGAGTAATCGGCCGAGTAGGCCGAGTTTTGCAACACTGGCTATAGTGATATGTTAAATATGTATTCTGGTATATAGTATGTTGATATGTTGTAGTGATCTGTTATATTTGTATCCTGGTATATAGGATGTTGATATGCTATAGTGATCTGTTAGATCTGTATCCTGGTATGTAGGATGTTGTTATGCTGTAATGATCTGTTAGATCTATATGACTACATGTACCTACTAACTATTAATTATTATGGTGTATGTTGTTATGTTATGGGTTACTTGGTTGAGGCGGACCAGTTGAGACTGAAGGCGAAGACACCCTGGGAGGTCTGGATAGACTGAAGGCCTACGAGACGGTTCAGTCAGGCCGAAGTCCCAAAAAGCGATCTAGATAGGCTGAAGGCTCGGTGAGGCGGTCCAATCATGCTGAAGGATCTGTATGCATCTTGTTGTTGTTATGTTATGTGATGGTACTTTGGGGGAACTAACTAAGCAATGGCTTATAGTTTTTGTTTCGGTTTAGGTACTTCTGAGGACTATGGCAAGGCGAAGGCGTAATCATGCACATCCTTCGTTTTATGTTATCTGGATTTTTGGGACACTCAGTTTCTGAGAAACACTTTTGAAATAATGTTTTGTAAACATTATCGATTGAATTATTGTTTTTGAAAAGTTTAAATTTATTGTGACTTTTGAGATGTTACATATTTTCAGTAACTTCATCCATACTGCATCCTCTTCCTATGCCTTCTGCTCTTGTTTGTGAAGAAGGGATCTAGTGGTAGTGATTTACATTGGTTATGGCAAGCTATGGTGGTGATAGAATTGACCGATGGTGGTGTTAGTGTTGACCGATGGTGATATTATTTACTGTTGGTGGTTGTAGGATCGATGGAGAAGAATAAAGTTTGGGAAAGAAGGAGACGGAGTTGGGGAAAGGGAAGGGGTGTTTTGGAGATGTTTCGGAGTCATCGGAGATGTTTTACAGTCATCGGAGTATTGAAGCCAGTGACCCACGGTAGTGGTGTTGGTGTTGGTGTTGGTCAATGGCAATGGTGAAAATGGTGGTGCGACAATATGTTAAATTAAACAATTTTTTTAATATATTAAACACTTTCTTTTAATAGTTAATAATTAATAATTAATAAATAAATCAAAGAAAGAAATGAATAAGGTCAAAAATGTTCTTTTTATGTTCGGAGAAGAAGTATGCAAGTTTTAAACTAACGAGGGACGGTCCGAGTTAATTTTTAAAAATAGAGATTGAATGTGCATTTTAGCACATATACGAGGGACGATTCATGTAATTTACTCTAATAATAATTAAAGAAATAAACCATGAAGATGTATGAAAAATCATTGATTAAAAAATATTCAAAATAATACAATACAACATAAAACAACAGATTTTTAGTATTTATATCAATTCAAAATATTAGACTAGCAAGCTTGACAAAAACCAACCTCTAATGGCCTTAGGGCCACCAAAAAGTTTTCATGTGTACAATTATTAATGTTTGTTGTTTTTTTATAAGGCCGGTAGGAGTAGCGTTGAGTTCATCGTAACCTATTTTAGCCAAACTCCAACTCAAATATACCATGGCGAGGGAGAAGAGAGGGAGTCTACGAGTGGTGCACCATGGCAAGGGAGAAGAAAGAGTACATTTCCACATGGGGATATCAAGTTTGATGTTTTTTTGGGAGGGGAACTGGTATGGTGCTCGACATCGGCAAGCCAAGGGTGTGCAGAACATAATTGGTCCAATTCGAACTATAATGCCTGTAAGTACAAGCTAGACGTTTAAAAATGATTAGAGTTATGACCATTTTTTTTAATAATTAAAATCATTGAATATGATAAATGTAAATGTATAAGAATCAACACAATACGGGTTGTATAAGTGTTAATTATATTTATTTATTGCGTATATACTTATGGACAAATATTATGGGCATATAATATTTGTATAAAACTTTATTATAAATTTAACGAATTGCGTTAAATAATATTTATAATAGAAAGATTAATTTTGAATAAATAATCTAAACAAAATTTATAGTAGTCATGATTACAAACACGTGAGTATAAAGAATACCAAAATCTAACTTTGTATGAAAAAGTAAAGAATTTTCGAAGTTTCGCGTTCGACATAATACAGTCGTGTATGTCATAAAATATGAAACAAAAATAGGTTGTTCGTTAGCCCAGACAATTTTATCGAAAGTTGATGTCCTTGTAAATACGGATTCGTTGATATAAAGAACGTCGAGAACCGCTAGCCTTCCTATTAGGCTTCGACAACCTCCTATCTTCAGCCCCCAACAATTTGGATCGCTCCCTTACTCCGCTGCAACATTGACTCTACAACAACAAAAATACGAGCAACCTATTTTTCTGCACCACATGCCCTACCTCCACAAATGAACGCTCCAGCTTTTGGTGGTCACGCAAATGCTCCTCAATTCACTGATTTGGCCTTTGTATTCCAATCTATGTTCGTTCAACAACTGCTAGATAACAAGTTTTATATGGACTCGAGAGTAAGCTCACATTTGTCGTTTAATGAAGGTAACATGCTCTCTCTAACACCATGCAGATTTTTACCAAATCCAGAAGTGCTAACCGGAGAAGATGGTCAGAAAAAATTGAAGTGACTGAATGTACAAAAGTTAGTTTAATGATAAACGGTATATAAAATATGAGTTTAATGTAGTTCATTGAACAAGTATAATTTTAATGATGCAAGTTTAACGTTGTCTCTTTAAAATGTAAACTGAATACTTCTGTAATAGTCTATAAAAGTGTAATAACCGATAAATGTGATTTATCTGACAACGATTATAAGTTTAATAGTAAATCATGTAAAAAAAATAAAAATATTACTGGCTTACAAAAATGACCATTTGTTACCTACTAGTGGTATACCCACGTAATGCGGCAGACATCAAAGTAGGGGCACTAAATCGTTTTGTTCTGGGGGCGGGGAATAGTTTTACAAGGTGGACATGTTTTTTTTTTTTTTTTGGAAAATACCATGTGGCTTCTAAAAATATGATGACAACATGTTAAGCTCACCATCACTCTCTCTATTCTAAAAGAGGTAACGGTGAGATGTGGGAAATTGAGAAGAAAATATGACGTGAGTAAAAGTGTATAATCATAAAATAAAAAAATGATTTAAAAATTAATATATATTATAATAAACATTTAACGGTAATGTTGTAATACAAAAAGATCAATCTTTGTTCTTTCTAAACAATGTTAGAGAGAGAAAAGATCAATCATACATGGTGTTGAAACGACATAGTTTCCCTTTCAACGATGTTATTTCAAGCAATTTTAATCAATGAAAATTTAACAACAATTTTATTTTCAAGCAATATTTACCAATGAAAACTTAACTGCTTCTTAATTTTAACAAAGGTTACATTTATCAACTTTTCTAAATGACATTTTAATTGGAGGCTTAATTTTTAATTTACGAATTAGCAATTCTTTGTGATATAGTTAACCTTCCCAATATTTGATAATACATAATAGAATTCAATTTACCAATTGTCGCGCAACCAAACACTTTAGAAAACAAATTAGAAAATCTTAATTTTTGACATCAACAAAAAGATAAACAAATTGATATGTTTTTAACAAGTTTAAATTTTATAATCAACTATTCAATCCACTGTATCCAAATTTGATAAGAGTTGATGATGATTTCAACATTCCATAAAATATTATTTGTTTGTCTTTGCTTTATTTATTTGTACATCAAGTTTTATATTGTATATCTCTTAAATTTCAAGATTTATCAAAAATATTTTACAATATAGTTAAGATAAAGTTATTTCCCCTTTGATAAGTTGGAACAAGAACACTATAAAATAAGGTAGAGTTAGAAAAATGGACTAGTTGAAGAATCAAAAAGAGTAAAATTTTGGTCGAAATATGATTATAAAATTTACGTCATTATATTAATAGTTTATATTTTTAATAGATTTTGTTCATGATATTGTACAGCTTCCGAGTTTCGACCCCTTTTATTCTTAGCTAAATTTTTAGATTCCTTATATTTCGTGGGCCCAGTTGTAGAATACAAAAAGGTTGGTGGTACGCAGAGTACCCTAACCTATCAGACCCTTTCACTTTGCCTCAAAAGGTTGACTTCTGATTTTCTGAATTCTGACTCTAACAGTTGCAGTTTTGAGTCACTTGTCACCGTTCTTCGTCAGGTTTTTTTTGATGAACTATTTTATTTTTGCAGATTATTTGTGTTTTTCTTCAGTATAATGCAGTTATGATTCATCTTACTATTGCACATTCATCATTTATCGTCTTCTTTGCATGTTAGTTGTTTGAAATTTTGTAAGTCTAGATGATTTCATTAAAAAATGTGTTTGTATATAAGGATAACAAGTCGATAATCAATTCGTAGAATGAGATTATGAGATTGAATCTGAATGAATCTATTTGAAATCGTAAAAGTGTAAACTGATTATTTACTCTTGATCGACATTTATACAATTTCAGGAATGGAGCATTTGAAATCTCCATTCAGAGGGATTGCACATGATGTTAGAGGAAGAGCATTGTGCTATAAACAGGATTGGAATGTCGGAATTCGCTCTGGAATTGGGTAATCCTCTTCGTTCCTCTGGTTTACGTGCATGATCCAAATTATACGTAGTTCTCTATGAATGTATAACCTAATGATTCAGCATTTCAACTAGATCGACTGTTTTGAGTCGCTATTTTCTGAGAACTATATTGATTCAAAATGCTAATTATGATTGTTTGTAGGATTTTGGCTCCAACTACATACATCTTCTTTGCTTCTGCACTACCTGTCATTGCATTTGGGGAGCAACTTAGTAGAGATACAGGTATTCTATAGAAGAGGAAAGTAAATACAATTAGATGATTCAAAATGGCAATTAGTTAACTTTTTCAACTGTTATTGTTGTAGATGGAAGTTTGAGCACAGTTGAAACTTTGACTTCTACTGCTATATGTGGTCTCATACACTCAATACTTGGTGGACAACCTCTTCTGATATTAGGAGTAGCAGAACCTACTGTTATCATGTACACTTACTTGTATAACTTTGCTAAAGGGAGGCAAGATTTGGGGCAAAAACTGTTCTTGGCATGGGCTGGATGGTAATTTTACAGAAGAACCCTAGTATTCCATGCTTTCTGAATCACCAGTTCCTAATTTATGTCTTAATAGCGACACAATTTTTGCAGGGTATGCACTTGGACAGCTCTGATGTTGTTCATTCTTGCAATTTTCAACGCCTGTGTTATCATCAATAGATTTACAAGGATTGCAGGGGAAACTTTTGGGATGTTAATTTCTGTTCTTTTCATTCAAGAGGCCATCAAGGTAATTAACTAAAGTCACTAATGGAGGAAAAAGTTTCAAAGCTAATAGTTTGTTACTGTTGTTTCATGTTTCATAACATTTAGTTGTGATTTTGTTGGTTTAGGGACTGGTGAGCGAGTTCAAGATTCCTAAAAATGAGGATCCAAATAGAGTGAAGTATCAATTTCAATGGCTTTACACTAATGGTATTCTTGCAGTTGTATTCTCATTTGGGCTTTTATACACTGCATTAAAAAGCAGGAAAGCAAGATCATGGTGGTTTGGAACAGGTGAATGGAGTATTTTTTTTTTTTTTTATCAAATATGGTTTAGATTCTTATCATCTTAACACATAACTGCTATTATGTGAATCTAGGGCGACTCAGAAGCTTCATAGCAGATTATGGAGTCCCATTGATGGTTGTAGTGTGGACAGCTGTCTCTTTCAGTGTACCAAACAAACTCCCTTCTGGTGTTCCAAGAAGGCTCTTTAGTCCACTCTTATGGGAATCTGAATCAACATACCATTGGACTGTTATCAAGGTAAATATTTGTAGACATTTTATATAATAAAACTTCATAATTAGATCTTAATTCTTCCCTTGAATTTAACTGCAGGATATGGGTAAAGTTCCTCCTGCATACATCTTTGCAGCCTTCATCCCAGCTCTTATGATAGCTGGGCTTTATTTCTTTGATCATAGTGTTGCTTCACAGTTGGCTCAACAGAAAGAATTCAACCTCAAGAATCCTTCAGCCTATCATTATGACATTCTTTTGCTTGGATTCATGGTACCTTTTTCTATATTATTAACTTATAATTAATATGTTAACAATCAGATGCATATTTTTAAAATTATTAAATGTTGTTTTCAGACGTTGCTTTGCGGATTATTAGGACTACCTCCTTCAAATGGTGTCTTGCCTCAATCACCCATGCACACTAAAAGCCTAGCAGTTCTCAAAAAACAGGCAAGTCTACAAAAGGAAATTATATAATTAGAAACGTATAATTTCATTGATATATTTCTTCTAATAATATAATTGTTTTATTCTAGCAGTTTATTAGAAAGAAGCTAGTAGCAAGTGCTAAGGAAAGCATAAAGCAAAAAGCTACCAATTCAGAGATCTACAACAAGATGCAAACTGTTTTCATAGAAATCGATAGCTCTCCAATTGTAAATCTTCAGTATCTCAAGTGTTGAACACAAGAAATAGCAACACATTTCCACAATTGTCAAAGTATACTTTTGTAACTTGTTTTTTCTTACATTACAGACGAATACAATAGTTAAAGAACTAAAAGACTTGCAAGAAGCAGTGATGAAAGTAGAAGATGGAGAAGAAAACACAAATGTGAAGTTTGATCCTGAGGAGCACATCGATGCACACTTACCTGTGAGAGTTAATGAGCAAAGGGTCAGCAATCTACTGCAGTCGCTTCTTTTAGCAGGATCTATTTGCGCAATGCCACTTATAAAATTAATACCAACTTCAGTTCTTTGGGGCTATTTTGCTTACATGGCCATTGATAGTCTTCCTGGAAACCAGTTTTGGGAAAGGATCTTGCTTCTCTTTATCCCCTCTGGCAGAAGATACAAGTCAGTTCTCTGTTCTCTCATTTTCAACCAATATATGTTTTGATCACTAATTTATATTAAAAAAAAAAAAAAAAAAAAACAATTGCGATCTATATATCTCTATGTGGTGCAGGGTTCTGGAAAAGGTTCACGCTTCTTTTATCGAATCAGTCCCATTTAGAAGCATAGTCATATTCACAGTCTTCCAAATCATCTATTTCCTTGTATGTTATGGTGTCACGTGGGTCCCTGTAGCTGGAATTCTCTTCCCAGTTCCTTTCTTTCTTCTCATCAGCATACGCCAACACATTCTACCAAAACTATTCCACCTCCATTATCTCAGGGAGCTTGATGCAGCTGAATATGAGGAAATTGTGGGTAGTCCAACACGACCTCCTAGTTTCAATCTCAGGGTAATTACTAATTAATTAACTTTTCACAATTCAGAATTCGGAATTCAGAATTGATTTACTCTCTGTATATACAGGAATCAGATAGTGGACATGGTGGGAACAATGAAGATGACGTGGCGATATGTGATGCGGAAATACTTGATCAAATGACTACAAATAGAGGGGAGCTTAAGGTTCGGAATCTTAGCTTTAGAGAAGATAGACGCACACAGGTAATAACTACACTTACTTTTTTTTTTTTTTTTTTTCTTCAATTCCTATCGTTCAACCTTATACATCATGCTTTCAAATTTATTCATATAGATTTGGTCTTAAAAAACTATTTTGCGCCTAATCTTATATTTGGTGTTAATCTGTTGTCATTTATTTATGCTTTAAGTATTAATACCATAAAAGTTGGAACTACCCCTCCCTGCAAAGGCTACCACCATTGTGCTTTGTGAGGCGAAATAGTTTTTTTTTTTTTCAAAACCCAAAACAAAATGAAACAACTGGGACCAAATAAGCAAATATACAACAATAATCTTTTTTGGACCAAACCTTCAACAAATGGAAAAGCACAAGGACCAACCTGTAATTTACTCATAAAACGTTTTTTTTTTTTTTTTTTTTTTTTGCAGCAAATTTACCACGGAGACTATATCCAGTCTGAGTGAAAAATAGAGAAGACAGTTATGGAATGGATAGCGAACCAGAGTGCAACTATGATGCTTGTAAAGGTAATGAGTAGTTGTATGCATTTGGTCAGGGTAGTAGTTAGTGTTAGTTTGATTTGATCATGTAATTGACAATGTACAAAAAGTTGGTTTAAACGTTAAAGCCCAAATGGAACATTGATAATAAAAATCAGACAATTGGGCTCTTAAGTAGCATGAGAAATTTCCTGTTCTTTTTTTTTTTTTAGCTCAACTCAAATGGCCACAAACCCGTTGCAATTGATAAAAGTGAAATGTCTTAGAGCGTAGAAAAGGTTATGAAAAAGCTTAAAATAAAAAATAAAACTAAAAATGTGTGTATCCGAGCTTTTTCCATTTGATTATCTATGTTTTGTTTTTACATCATTGTAAAAGCTTAAAAGAAGAGTTTGCTAATTAGCAAGATTCTTGAAAAAACTTCGGTTTGAAAAAGCTTTTCATTTTGAAAAACTTTTTGGCTTGAAAACACTCACGGATTTGACATTTCTATTGTAAATTAGACATTGACATCTTATGTTACTAATTTTGATAAAAAAAACATATATATTTTGATTCTTTATAAGATTAGAATATATAATTTTTTGACTTTTCTTTAATGGCGTAGTTCATAAAAAATAATAATCAGTTTTTATTATGTACTAAAAATATGAAATCAGAAGAGGTGTGAAACGTAGTTTTTGTATAAACAGAACCTTGAAAAGTGGTTTTGAAGTAAATTATATTTCTTAATCTATCTATTATTGGTATATGCCTAATCGTATAATGCCACATTTATCTATCTCCCTATCTAATAAACAAAACCTAAATCCACGTGTCCATTGAAAAGAGCTGAATTTTTACAAAGTTAAATACCTATTATACCCCTCTTTGATTCAACTACGTATCAAAACATATAGTACGCCCTGTTTTCTTTAGAATTACTCGGTTATAACAGGTCTGGATATTAACTCCAAAATTCATTACATTCCCGTTTCATAGCATCTTATTATGGTATCTGATCTTTTATATAAGGTATGCTATCAATGCTATCAATTGCATTCAATGGAAATCGTATTACAGTCAATATATATTTCAAACATTTATATCAATCGTTTCTTTGGTAAATTGTGTCTCCTTTGTCCTTCATCAATCGTGCTCGAAAATCATCCACTTAATCACAGACGAAAATCGTCCACTCAATCGCAGAAAAGAGGTGTTCGGTAAGTTTCTTAAAAGCTTACTTTCAGATTGTTTGTTTATTAGTTGAATCTTCTTGTGTGTTTTTTTTAATTTATGTGTTGTTTTTTACACAACAGTTTATGCTTCTCAATTCTCAATGTGTATGCGTGTGATAATCATAATCGAAAATTGTTCCTGCTTCTTAAAAACCTACTTTCAGATTGCTAATCAAACAATAATGATGGCTAGGGCATTTTCGTCCTTCATCAATCGTTGTTAATTTTGATTTTTCATGCTTATCCATTCTATCTACTGGATCAAATGCTGGAGGGCATTTTCATCTTTTGTTTTCTCTTTGTAGTGTATATACATGTACGCCCAAGAAGATGATATTAACAACCTATCTACCCCTTAAAAACCCTTTTTACCTTTTATTTATATCTGTCAATCTTATCCACTTTTGGATCCTATTATTATATACTCTTAATTTGATATTTTTATAACTTAATTAAGTTGACCAATCTTACATCTTCGGGTAACATTAAAATTAAAAAAAAAAAAAACACATCAAAAGCATCCAAAAAAACAAAAACACAAAAAAACCACAAAAAATAAATGTCCCAGCAGAAAAAAAAACCCAAAAACAGGAACCAAACAATATCAAACAATAGGAAAATTGTACTTTTCAATTTGGTGTTACTTTTATTTAGAAACCAAAAAAAACTTGTACTTCTCAGCATGCTTTCATTTTCTGTGTTTGCTAACTTTAAATGTCAAATCTGTCCTACTGTTGCTACTTATTTTTTTATTGGTAAAATACCATTTTTACCCTTTATTTATATTTGATCAATATGAAATATACTCAAATATCGATTTTTTGCATTCTTTAACTATGAAGTAGATCAAATTGGACTAATATACCCCTACCCCTGCATGCATCCTTTAACAAACGTTACAATCAATAACAACATACTTTCATTTTCTCTTTTTGTTAATTCTAAAGGACAAATTTGTCCTGCCCGTTCATCCTGCCTTTTTTTTTTTTTGTTGATTGTAAAGGACAAATTCTTTTTTTATATGTTTACTTAAATTCTGCTTATCATTGTTTTTTTTACTCTAAACATTTGGTTGTTACTACGAACTGCTAAACATCGGTCATTAGGAAATATGAAATACTTTTTACACCTGGTCCACTTTCAAATGCTTGATGTTTAGATAGACGTTTTTCGTGTAAAGATTGTATAAAAAACCTACATGAATAAAACATGGATGAACATATTAAGTGACATTGAATTAAAGTTTAATGCTAAGTAAATAGTAGTAGGGTAATGCAAAAACGAAAATTTCGTATTCAGTAATATTAAAAACTAAAAATGGTTCTGTTTAAGCCTACATCATATCCTATTTCCCTTTGATTAACATGTTTTTGGTGTAAACCGGTTCAAATCAATGACAAATATGTAATTCTATGAAACATGACAGAACTGCCCCTTAATTCAAAATAGAACCTACCAGTCAAGTAATACAAAATACAATCAACTAATAATAAAAAAGAAAAAACATATTAATTAAAAACTGAATGAAGAATTCATTTCTATAAAACGTGACAGAAATGCCCCCGTACTCATAAAACATAAATATAAAATTTTATTTCTATTCGTATTGATTTTGATTGTAACATTTTCCTTTCTACTACAGTTTCAACCCAAAATTTACCATTATACCCTTCAACAATGACAAAAAACAGTTGGACATAATTATTTTATTCATGTGTATTGTACTTTTAAGCAAAAACTTTTCTTTTTGTTCGATGTGTGTTTTGTACTTTAAGCCTTCCTTTATATGTGTGTCATAATTGTGTCTACTGATGAAAGTTTGAATACTTAACAATTATGATTATAAAGATTCTAATTATGCATAGATATATCAAAAATAATTCGACAGAATTACCTTTCATGTGCAAATAAAGTAGTGTACTTTTCTTTTTCGTGTTATGAGTATATTAGCTATATGAAAAAACATGTATCAAATATGATTAAATTAAAAAAAGTGGTATATCAAATGCACATGAAATAGGTGCATGCATACAGTTTCAACCAAAAAATTTACCATTTTACCCTTCAGCAATGACAAAAAACAGTTGAACATAATTATTTTATTCATGTGTATTTTAGACATTGGAACACTCTTTTATATTTTTCTATCCGAGTTAGTGTTTTTTACTGTTCCGATGAATCTTTCAAATACATTAATTGACTTTACATAAATAAAAAATTAAAATTTTTGATCGTATATCCGACTTAGTGTTTATTTGTTTTTATATGTTTACTACTCTAGGGACATAATTGTAATTATGTTTGTGTTTACATTTTCTATGTGTAATTTTCTTCCTTTCTTTATCCTTAATATTGTATGTCTTTCTGTTGTAATTACAATGGCAACTACCCAGCAGAAATAAAAAACCCAAAAACAGGAACCAAACAATATCAAACAATAGGAAAATTGTACTTTTCAATTTGGCGTTGCTTTTATTTAGAAACCATAAAAAAAATTGTACTTCTCAGCATGCTTTCATTTTCTGTGATTGCTAAGTTTAAAGGCCAAATATGTCTGCTGTTGCTACTTATTTTTTTATTGGTAAAATACCCTTTTTACCCTTTATTTATATTTGATCAATATGAAATATACTCCAATATCGATTTTATGCCTTCTTTAACTATGAAGTAGATCAAATTGGACGAATATACCCCTACCCCTACATGCATTCTTTAACAAACGTTACAATCAATAGCAACATACTTTCATTTTCTCTTTTTGTTAATTCTAAAGGACAAATCTCTCCTGCCCGTTCATCCTGCCTTTTTTTTTAATTGTAATGGCCAAATCTGTTTTTATATGTTTACTACTCTACGGACATAATTGTAATTATGTTTGTGTTTACATTTTCTATGTGTAATTTTCTTCCATTATTTATCCTTAATATTGTATGTCTTTCTGTTGTAATGACAATGGCAGCTAGAAATATCACTTTGATCAGCGACTTAGACAATATGAGGGATGATTACACACTAAAAGTGTGTATCATCCGGTTGTGGAGATCATTTTCCGAATCTGACCCCCCTGTTGTGAAATCAATTGAAATGATATTAATGGATGAAATGGTAAAATATCCTATTACAATAACATTATTCAAAATCATTTTTTTTGCATTTGCTCATTCCAATAATATTATTCAAATTCATTCATGGTCGAATAATTGATTCAACTTTGACCAAATTAAATAAATTAATATACAATTGGTCAGCAATATATATAATATTCTTACAATATATTAATAGGGTACAAAAATCAGAGCCAATGTCTACTGAAAAGATTTCCAAAGGTTTGACTCCAAGTTAAAAGAAGATGACGCTATTTACATCCGATCCCCCATTATAGCTCCAAACAAATACACTTTTAAAATAAGTGATGTAACCTCCAAGTTAAACTTGCATGGACAAACAACTGTTCATGAGTGTCTTGGTTTTCAATCCAAAACAAAATATGAGTTTTGTTTTGTATCGTTTGAAACCATTATCTCTGCGACAACTACATCTAATATCTCAATTGGTACTTTTCCCCTATTTTATTGCATTTTGTATTTAATTTTTTAATTTTACATAAATTTGACATATTGTATTATCATTTTCTATATGTTATAGGTGAAGTAGTTTCGTTAGGCAAACTGGATTCCCGTGATGTTAGCATATCGAAACATAGGCTAACTTTACAAATCAGAAACTTAGAGTAATTATAACTTTTATTATATTATATATTAAATTATTATTATTATTATTATTATTATATAAACATTTAACCTTTGCTGTTTCTGCAGAGGTTTGCAGGTTAACGTCACATTGTTTGCAGATTTCGCATACCAAATGATTTCTTATCTTGAAGCTCATAAGCAAGTTGGTCGTGTGGTTATTATTTTGCAGT